ACTTGCTCCTTGTCTTTTTACTCGTTTACCGTTTACGAGTTCCGATAGCGGGTCATGTCATGTGTGTGTGTTCACATGCCACGAGGTTGGGCAGGTTTTCTTTTTATATATAAATAAATAAATGATTGGGCAGGTTAATGTTTGGTTTTAAATTTTTATATACCAATAATTGTACCAGGTTAATGTTTGGTTTTTAAATTGAATTTTGGGTTTGAATTTAGAGAATTGAGGCTTGGGATTTATCCAATAGAGAGGTTAGAGTATAGTATGATACTCAAAACTGGAGTGTATATATAGTGCATTCTATTGTACACCGGGTAAAAATTGGAGTAAGCCATACACCAAGTTAGAAAATGATATCCATACCTAAAATTGAAATGATTTTGGGGCATGGTAATATGTTCCAATCCTTAATGAGTGAAACATAGGTTATAATGATTATCTGAATCGTAAACCCTAAACCTTAATATGGTGCATGTAGTTTGTTATATGCATTACGATGAATCAAGTGTTGATTATTATTCCTAATTAAATTGGTCTTATTGTAAAATATTTATACAAATAAGACATTGATTTTTAAATTTTAAGGGTTAGAGTTTCATGTCCCAAACTTCGGTCAATTTGAGATTTAGATATAATTTTCTTACTTGATGAATGCGGTACTTCAACTTGGTGTACTATAGAATCATCCATATATACATAACGTGTGGTAGGAAAATAAAATCTCGAAAATTAATAATGTACATAATTTGATAGATCACAATGAACACGTTTCATCTTGTGCAAAATAAATTGAAATTTAGGTTAAAAAAAGAAGATACAAGCTCATTAAAAAAAATAAAAACTAAAAATCTATTAATCTCACTCTTTAAGTTTAGTCCACTCTACACCCAAAAAAAAGTTTAGTCCACTCAAAAGTTAATATTAATGAATCAAATCTAGTTATGCACGAATGCAAAACCCTAACCAAAGGTTATGCGGGTACTTATCATAAAGAGTTATAAACCTTTGCATTTAGTATAAAACGGTCACGAACTTTTAACTTGTAACGCGACGATATCAAAAGTTTGAGCTTGTACAAAATGGTCACTTCTCTTAATCTCCATTCAAATTTCTGTTAGATTTTTCAATCAACATTCCACCTCATAAAAACATTAATAAACAAATCCAATGAAACTATGGTGCAAAACCCTCACGCAAGAGCTTTGTCTTATGGTTGCGTCAGTCGGTTATTGGTGCTGGGTTGGTTCTCATTTTGGATGGAGGCTACCAAAAGTGATTATTTTATATAAGTTAAATTTTATTATCATATCATTAAAAATTAATGTTACATAATGGGACAATAAAATTGACATAATAGGACAAAAAAAATTATCTCGTTTAGCGAGAGTTTCAGATAGGAGTCTTTTAGGTTTTCTTTGTGTGCTATGGTTTTAGAGCCCTCACTTGACGGCGGCGAGCTACAGTAGAGGTTTTCTGAAGCAACTTGAGCAGCGAGAGAGAAAAGCAATTGAGTGGTAACTTGATCAGCCTCCTGCGTCAGGTTTTGACGAGTGGTGAGTGAGAGTTTCCCTAGGTGTTCAACAAAAGGGGTCTCGGCAAAATTGTTGTACCTAGGATCGCCTCCTGCGGCTTAGGGTGAGGGAGTGATCTAGAGGAAAGCATCGATAGATAACCTTCAGCTTCTGCTTTTCAATGGCAGATCCGGAAACAGATGTTACAGGAAACATAGTAGTTACAGCGGACAACAATGGAGCAAAGCAAGATGAACAGATAGAGGATGCAGAGATGGTGGTACTTCAAGGAGGAGCTCAACATGGAGTGTACTCGTAGTCGAAATGTAGAAGTTATGGATCTTAGAGAGGCAGTCTGTGGTGGTCCAGATGATGCACCGAAAAGGAGACCACCTGTTGCAGCCGCGGTGAAGCAATTTTTGTTGCTGGCTCTTGGTTCGATGCTCGCCCCAAAGATGTCACGACTTTGTGATCTCGATTATGCAGAGTACATGGTTGGAAGGGTGGAGGACATTGCCACTTTTAATTGGAGTGGTTTTGTTGCCCGTAATCTGAAGTTTGAGTTGTGTCGGGTTAAGGAAAACGAAGCTGAATCTAGGGCGGGTGGGAAACAACAATGGCCTCTTGGAGATATCCACTTCTTAATGGTAACTTCTCCTTTAAAATTGTTGATATTGTTTATTTGATGGTTGATATTAGTTAACATTCTAGGGATAATAGTTCATTTCATTCCTGATATCTTTTTTGTTTGCTTGTGATATTAATAACCATTCCTGGGATAGTAGTTCGTTTCATTTCTTATATCTGTTTTGAACGCTTTTTTGTAGATCCATTTGCTAGACTTCCTTAATGTGAGAGGGTTTGCCACAGAAACCATCCCGACCTGCAGCTATTGGTTCGACCCAAGGGTGGATAAGGTGTGCTCGAATATCCCCAAGGTAGCTGATTGGGAATCAGGGTCGAGCAGCTCGGCTCCTGCTATTGATTGGTGGGCGGATGTTGACTTGGAAACCCTTGAGGACGATGAGGTATGTAGATCTTCTCTTTGCATCTCAAAATCGTGGGTTAATAGACATGGGTGCATGTAGCGAACTAATTTTTTTTTCAATATATGTGTAGCTTAAGGCATTGGAGTCATTGACCAAAAAAATGATGGATGTATGGGAAACAAGGAGGGATAGTATCTGGAGAGTCGTCATTATGCGCCATCAAGGAAACAAATGAACTTTGCAATTTTCTTATGTTTAAGTGGTTGTAATGTTATTGTTAGGATGTTATAATTGCCATGTTGGAATGGCTGAACAAAAGTTTGTTTACTTGTTAAGGATCTGTTACTTTTATGTATTGTTGGTTCTGGCTACTATTTCTTTTCATGATTGCTTTGAACAAAAGTTTGTTTTCTGTATCGAATGATGAGATCCGAGTTTGCTTGCCGCCGATATTGAAATGAATGCATTGGATATTAGCTACTACAGGGTTGGATATTACTATGTCCTGTGTGGATAGCAAGTGCTTAATGTTTGAATATTACTCTGTTCTGTCTAGATAACAGTTGCACAATGTTTGGATATTATTCTGTCTTGTCTGGATAACAGGCGTCTCTTGGGATATTACTCTGTGTGGTCTGGATAACAGTTGCTATATGTTTGGATATTACTCTGTGCTACCTGGATAACAGGCGCCTTTTTCTGGATATTACTCTGTATTAGTTGGATAACCGTTGCTTTATGTTTAGATATTACTCTGTGCTGTCTGGATAAGGGGTGCTTCATGGTTGGATATTACTCTGGCAGTTTGGATATTAATTTAATGTGCTTGCACGTGTTTTTTCAGCGACCAAAACGAAAAGGAAGAGGGGCAAATTGGCGAAATTGGTTCCTGTGACCAAAGTGAGAATGGAAAAGGAGGGATACGTGAAAGGCAAGAATATGTCCAGCTGCGTGTACTCTCGGAGAATACGTGAGAAGACTGTGCTGCCTGTTCTCGAGCCTGAGGTGGTTCTGGAGCCAGATACAGTTGTTGAGCCTGAGGTGGAGTTGCCTGTTGTTAAGTTCACTACTGATGTGGAGGAGGAGTCAGAGCCAGTTGTCGAGGTTGATGTTGAGGTCTCTGTTGTGAAGCCGAGTGCTGAGGTCGCTACTGAGGTGGAGCTAGAGTCAATTGTCGAGCATGAGGTGGAGGTGCTTGTTGTTAAGTCGAGTACTAATGTGGAGGTGCCTGTTGTTGATCCGGAGGTTCGGGAGGTGCCTGTTGTTGATCCGGAGGTTCAACATACGAAGTCCATTTTTGGTCAAGTGAATGTGATGCAGATTGCTCTCCAAACCCCTGCTGCTGCTGAAGAGAGTATAGAGACATCCCCGACTACGGTAAATTTTGGAGGAAACCAGTAGTGTCTATTCTTCCTAGATATTTGTTTCTGATTCTTTGGATACTAGCTTGGGATTCCTGGATATATGTTTCTTTTTCTTTGGATAGTAGTCTGTTCTCCCAGGGTATTTGTTTTGTTTTCTTTGGATATTAGTCTATTATTCCTGGATATTTGTTTCTTATTCTTTGGATACTAGCTTGGGCTTCCTGGATTTTTGTTTCTTTTTCTTTGGATACTAGCCTGGGCAGCCATGATATTTGTTTCGTTTTCTTTGGATATTACTCTGTTCTTCCTGGATATTTTTTTTCGTATTCTGTGGATACTCTACTAGCCTGGGACGATGGTCATACCTTTGGCATTGTTTTGCAGATACCTTTCGAGGATATTGCTATTGTGTTCGATCCTTCTACCGAGGTTCTGACGCAAGGAGAAGAAGCAACATCAGAGGGGGAGCTTATAGCAGCAGCATGCTAGAGGATGATGGAGGATAGCGATGATGATATTCTCGTAAGTGAGAGGGCTATGACTCAGGAGGAGGCAGAGTTTATGCACTCTATCACACCAGAAGCATGGAAGGCAACTCTAAAAACTCCTGCATTCGAGAGGTCAAAACACCACCCGTTGGACTCATCAGTGTACGTTTTGCCTAAGACTCTGTCTGTGAAACTCGACGCTACGCCACTGCAAGTGGTTGAGTTCATCTTCAGTACCACAACTAAAGATGAGTAAGTTGTCATGTTTCCTTCTTGAATCGTCAATTTCAATTTGTCAAATTCATGGCTACTAACCTAGTTTTTCATTTGTGTTTTACAATCACGACTTTATCATGGAAACTCCAAAGGGCAAGCTTAGTCGTTGCCAAATATTGTCATTGAAGCGTAAAAGTTGGATTCATAGCCAAGTAATTTTAGTATACGGGCACTTCCTAAATGACCAAGAAGAACGTAAGGAGGTGGTGAAGAGAATTGTCTTCCCATGGACCTATGTAGTAAGTATTATCTTCACTACTTAGATCCTATTTATGTTGAAAATGTCTAATTTGATATTGTTGTCTCTTCTAAATAGCAACATGTCGTCGCCAATGCTATAAAAAAAACAACCCACGGACAAGGCGAGAGTCTCGGCGCATATTTCTATGCACAAGAGTAATCCATTGCTGAAACGGGAAAACTTGGAAAGATGTGATTACGTAAGTTTCTTCAATGTTTGGATATTTTTCTGACTTTCCTTGATATTGGTCTGGGTTTATAGAATATTTTATTCTTATTTATCAGATATTATTCTGGGTTGTTGAGATATTAATCTGGGTTGTTAGGATATTAGTCAATGATTAACTCACTAACTTTATTGTGTTTCAGATCTTCTTTCCAATGTATCGAGATGATCACTACCGAGTGTACGTCGCTGACATGAAGAATAGGAAGACTTTCCTACTCGACAGCCAAAAGCCCAATGCCCGAGTGGCTAAAGAGGATCATGGACCAGTAGGGAAAGTGATTTTTGAGTATGTGACCGAGTTCCTCAAAGAGCAGGGGGTCGATTGTAGATTGGATGAGTGGGAATTCAGCATTGCTGACTTTCCTCAGCAATTTGGCATCGATGATTGCGGTGTATTTGCTTGCCTTTACATGGAGCTATGGGCGGGTCACCTTCCGGTGCAATATAAAAACAGTTGGCCCAAGCAGCAACATGTGGAGGAACAACGAACACGGATTGCAGCTAACCTCCTGTAATGGAACTATAACGGCCACAAGGATGCAATAATTCAAGGAGCAAAGGATTGAAGTATGCAGAAAGAGAAAGAGAAAGGGAAAAAGAAGAGAAATTGATTTTAGATTTGTTTAGGTGTGCTGGATAGTTTATAAAACTTAACTTAGGGTTGGTTCATATTTAGGAATGGTTGATGGTTTGCATTAGGATGGAGGATATTTTGGTAGATATTGTCCTGTGATTCCAGGATACGTTTTTGTGGTGCAGTGGATATGAATCCACTTGTTAAGGATACTTGTCTGGGCAAACTTGATATGTACTGTAATATGTACATATATTAGTCTGGGCTTTCTAGATATCAGTATTAGCAGCAACAAATACAATAGTATCAATGATTACTTCTTTCACTATTCACATGTGACCTCTTTTGTTACTGTACTCATGTGATCTTTTTGTTACTGTACTCATGTGACCTTTTTTGCATTTGTCTATTTAAGACTTGGAATACACAAGACTAATATCCTAACACACTGCTAATAAATATCCAGATTGCCCAGATAGGTATATGTTACAAGTGGATTAATATCCACTGCAACGTATCCTGGAATCACATGTCAATATCATATCACAATAGATCACACTCGACCCACCCTACATTATATTCATTACCATTGAGCAGAAAGGTATATGTTACAAGTGGATTAATATCCACTGCATCAAAAAAACGTATCATGGAATCACATGTCAGTATCACCCAAATCACTAAGATGGAGATGGTCATCCGGTTGAGTATTGTTGTCCTTTGTGACCGCTTCATCTGATTTCATTCCCTTCCTATAAACACGTTTCTTTCGACGGCGTTCCTTTTCATTCTTAGACTGGTAACGTTCCTTACCGTGGATCCTTGGATTACTCTTCTCCTTCAAAGTCAGCCCAGTTATCGGTATAGACCGTCCTACAATGTTACATAATTTAGTAAATGCAATGATATTAAACTCCAACAATTTGCAAATAGTATTAGTGAATACACTTACTGTCCTCGCTAGTTATAGTCTTTGATAATGCCTTGTTTGCCTCATTGCACAGTTTCTTGAGTACTCCCATCCACTTATTGTAGTCTTTCTCCTCGGCCATCGACAATTTCGTTGCTAGCTGATTCAACATTGCAGTGGTTTCTCGGTACCGCATTGCTATACCTTTTCCCGCATCATTCTCACTGTCAGCTGAAGGACCAACAAAACCATCGACACAACAACCAATTTCTTTCTCGCCTCCAACGTCCATTGCTTGAGTATATAATGATATGGAATACTTCTCATATTGGCTTCCCCAAAATCTCCAAGATGCCGCATCACTTTAATAGTGTGGCGGCATAACACTCCGAAAGTTCTGAACATCCTGCATTCGCATACCAATATCCTCGTAGAAATATCAACGAGAACGACACGCTCATCACTACGCTCACCATCCTCTATCATATATGTGAGGTAGCCAATCATGCCATCATCCCTAGTATCTGAGAGTGTCTCCATTAGATAGGGTTCAGTTTTCAAATACTGATTTTGTATCCGATTGAAGATGTTAGGAGTAAAGACCTTTGCCGCATGTTGTAGGAACGGGCTATCCTCCATCATAATATAAGGAACCGATTGTTTCCCATTGTAGTCTGACTCAGTCTCCTTGCGTCTTTTTTCAGCCAACAAACTACATTTACAAAGCACGAGAAAGAGTTTAGTGCCCAGACTAATATCCACTCAAACCAATACTAATATCCCAACTAAACAAAGTAATATTTAACAATAGCATATAAATATCCGGACAACAGTGACAAATATCCAAAACTAAAGTAGACTAATATCAAAGAAAGGCAAAGAAATATTCTGCGTACCTGCTAAAGTGAATGAAAAACAAGTCCAAATCATGCTTCGGTTTCAAGAAAAGACGCACTTGTGCATTGCACGACTCGCTGGCTTGCGTAGTCAACATCTCGGCTGTGAATTGATCTCTCAACCATAAGGAACACCATCGACGATGAAATTTCTTCAAATATTCCAACCATGGGTGACCGTCTGCAATTTTGCTATTAGGGAAACAATCAGCAACCATTGTGCTCCAGGCCATGTCGAACTCTCCCTCACTGTCGATATCGTAGAAAATATAAGAAAGATGAGTTTGGAACTTCTTTCAAAATGCCTTGTCCTTACGAAGATGCTTCTTCGCATTCATGAAGATGTGCCAAGTACAGAGGGCATGAAACACAGTAGGCCACTCCTTTCTAAGGGTAGCTGCCATGGCGGCGTCCTGATCAGTAAAAATAGTGACTCGGAGCTTCTTCTTCATGCACCAACTAAATGCTAAAAACAACCATTCAAAAGACGGTGTAGTCTCATCATACATCAAACAAGCACCAAACACACAAGTTTGACGATGATGATTGAAACCTACAAACATCCCTGCACAAGACAACTATTAATGACAATTGACAATGCATAACTGAACGAGTGTCGAAAAAACTTAAGGGAATTAGGAATTGATATTATGCCAATACATTTCAACAAATATCTGTAAAACCCAGACTAGTATCTCATAATGCCATACCAATATTAGTCCTTTTACAAAAACATATCATGTCAGGCCATGTCTACCGGATCACAAGAGACCACTCTTGAACCACCCTACATTGTATTCAATACCATTTATGTAATATCGAAAAAAATCAAGGCAATTAAGTGATTCGCGTACCTAGTGGACGGAAGTATTTGTTCGTTCGGAAGGTGGTATCAAAGGAGACCGAATCTCCAAAAAGAGCATAATCTTCACGCATCCTACTGTCCGCCCAAAAAATATTAGCAACTTTCTCCTCGCAATCTACCTCTACAGCATAAAAGAAGCCAGGATGCTTTTCCTTTTGGTCCTCAAAGTAGTCAAGCAAATAAGTCGCTTCGCCACGAGCCATTTTCCTGTGCCTTTTGCTGTTCAAGTGGTTCTTCTGATCGAATTTGGTAAATTTCAGATTTTGATAGCCACCAGCACAGTCAGCCAATAACTGATACGGTGCACTAAGACTCATCCCGGCATCGCGATTAGCTTCGACCATCTTTTTTTAGCATCACTCATGCACTTGTTGGACTTGATAAGGTGCGTATTCTCGGTGGAGTGCAAATCATGATTGTGGGCTCCCTCGAATTCATACACCACATATCCGTCTCTAGATTCATCCCATCGAAAACGAACACGGGCACTACATCCAACCCTAACTCGAGGCCTCTTTCTTTTAGGACGCTTTCTCTCCACAACTTTGTCTTCGGACTGTTTTTGTTTCTCCACATCTACTTCGCTAGTGGAAGTCCAACCTTGCTTATTACAAAAGTAATAAAGGTAGAAATAAATTTTCTCCGCCTCTCCATTAGAATTCTTCATTTTTCTTTGGTGTTGAGCAGCATTTCAAACACCAAAACCCTTTTCGTGAGCATAGCGTTTATAGAAAGCCAAACACTCTTCCTTAGTCCGATAAATTATGTTCTTCCTCGTTTCCTCATCTTCTAGGTCTGTTGTCTTATGAGCTGCGATTTAATTGTATGAGGCCATGTTAGTATCCACATTTAACTTGCCCAGACAATTATCCAACATGCCCACAATAGTATCAAATAGACGTCTAAATCATACCCATAAACAGACTGAATTCTTAGGCTTCGACAAGTATCCAACCTTAAAATACATCTTATCCTTTTGTTCTAGAAAAGTATCAGTAGCGTCCACCAAAATATCCAATATACCCAGAATAATATTTCACCTATCCCTAAAACGTATCCATGACGCTCGAAAGAATATCCATACTCAAAAACCCAAAAAAATATCCAACCACTTTCATCACGTCCATAACAATATCCAACATGCCCAGGTAAATATCTTAGATAGTTTTACAACGTATCCATGACAACTCAAAATAATATCCACACCCAAAAACCCAATGAAACAGGAGGTTACACCCAAAATAATATCAACACCATTAAATGACATTCAATGCACACAACAAAACTCAACAACACAAACATATATATAATAGAATCCACCTTCACTTTCTTCTTCTTCTTCTACAATGAGGTCATCCACACCATCTGAGTCTTCATCAACAAATTCATCTAGTGTAGGATCGAGGTCTTCTTCTTCTACAATGAAAGCAGCCACACCGTCCAACTCGCTGTCGTCGTCGAAAATCATCCTTTCTAAGAATGATCTGCTCGCCAGCAAGGAGAGACTCGCCGGAACTAATGATCGCCGGCAAGGAGAGTCTCGTCGGGAGTGACGATCACCGGCGACTCTAGCGGTGGTTGAGCAGAAAATTAAAGGAGAAAAAGGAGAGAGAGAGAGAGAGAGGGGTTAGAGAGTGAAAGTGGTGGTTGAGATCATTTAATGCCACCTTCCCCTTTATTGTTCAAGAAATATCCCCCCATTCCTTCTTCAGCAAAATCCCGCCCAAATTTCATCAGCAAAGCAAAATGGGCCCAAATAACTGTTTTATCAGCCTTCGGCCCATGGGCCCTCGCCAGGCAGCCCTTACTAAGCTGCAAGCCACCAGACCCGAATTGTTCCTTCTTTCTCCAACTTCCCGCCCAAAATTTCGGGCCGCCCAAAAAACTGACCACTTCCCGCCCAAAATTTCGGCTCTCCCAAAAAACTGCCCACGGCCTCCCTCCTCTCGGCTCGGCGGATATATGGATCAGCGAGTATCTACTCACAAAACCTACTGTGAGCAGTTTAACTTTTTCATGGTTGACGATGACAACTTATGCGCATGAGCTTAGACCTTGGATACAGCATCCAAGAAACAAAAAAGAAAAACTAATAAAAATAAGGGTGTATGGGCCTAGAATCCCAAATTACAGTAGTATCCCAGTTGATCTCTCAGTGGGCCAGCAAATGGGCTACAGTTGCGGCTTCTCGGGGATTGATCCATTCCTCACAACCGATAGGCCTGACATAGCTTTACCCGCTCTCTCCGACTTTCCAAACCTATGCGTTATTTTCGGCGAACGGTTCACGTCAGTAACTCAATAGTCAGTAACCATGAGTAACCTGTCTTATCAGCATGACATCAGTATCATCTCTCTCCTGGAAATTCTTTTATCTTTTCCCCCTTTAATTTTTAACGGACGATTTCTCTCTTGTTTTAAGTCAAGATTTAATTTTTTTGCATAGATAAATTAGATTAAATGTGCTCTTTAAAATGATATTCACTTTGATATATTTCTAGTACAAAAAAATTGAATAATTTTTTACCAGTCATTACCATATGGTATGCTCCTATTTAATAGTTAATACCATATGGTAAGAAAGCGTACCATGATGGTATGAACATACCAATATGGTAAGAGGGTTGAATACATGATAGTAGGAGTATACTACTGTTATTTACTACTTTCATCATTGTTTACTACAAGTTACCACCCACATACCATAGTGGTAAAGTAAGGTAATTTTTTATTCAGTATTTTTTCACCCAGAAATTTATAGATCCAATAGATCATGATGAACTCGTTCCTTCAGAGCAAACGTTTTCGAAAACGACTGAAAAACGAAAAAGTTACCATATGGTATGTAGGTGGTAAAAAAAAAGTTTCTCGAAATATATTGAAAATTGATCTCATTTTGTAGAGCACAACGAACTCGTTCCATCTGTGCAAAAAAAATTGAGAAATCCGAGTTAGAAGGAAGAAGATAAGATCCAATTAAGAAAAGGGTTATAGGTATAATATGTCCCTACTATGACGTTTTATCAAACATACCCCTCTACTATTTTTTACTTTGAAAAAATTATCAAACATACCATTCTGTTAAGAATTCCATTAATAAAATCGTCAATCATGGTTGAACCGAGATTTAGACAACCCGACATCGGTAAATGAGAGCAAAAATGTCAGTTTTGTCTCCCGTTTTATTTCTCTCGGTCTCTTCAAAGTGAAATTATTTGAATTATTTGGCTATACAAAAGAACAAAAAAATTATAAAGTGAAATTATTAGGGATATTTTAGACATTTGTGCCGCCCAAACCAAATTTCGACATTGGTTAACGGTTTTTGGATGAAAATTTAAACAAAAGAGCATGTTTGATCATTTTTACAAAGTACAGGGGCATGTTTGATGTAAAAAATAGTATAAGGGGCACCACCCACATACCGTAGTGGTAAAGTATGGTAATTTTTTATCTAGTAATTTTTCACCCAGAAATTTATAGATCCAATATATCATGATAAACTCGTTCCTTCAGAGCAAAACGTTTTTGAAGAACGACTTAAAAACAAAAAAGTTACCATATGGTATTTAGTTGGTAAAAAAAAGTTTCTCGAAATATATTGAAAATTGATCTCATTTTGTAGAGCACAACGAACTCGTTCCATATGTGAAAAAAAAATGAAATCCGAGTTAGAACGAAGAAGATAAGAGTCGATTTAAAGAAAATAAAAGGGTTAATACCCTAGTTTGGCCCGAAGTTTAGCGTTAGTGACAGTTCTGACCTCATTTTTCAAATAAGACGTTTACGGCCTACTTTTGAAATTATTAGACAGATTTGCCCCGAGAGACGGTTTGACCGTCATAATTGACGGTCATCCATTTTTTGCGTCAATGACTCAACATTTGTTGCTGACTACACTCGTCCACGTCATTTAAATATTAAAACATGAAGAAAAAAAACAATGAAAGAAACCCCTATTCTTTTGCCGATCCTCCATCTTCCTCCGATAGTTCCCCCTTCCATCACGAGTTCGCCACCGCAAATCTCCTCCGCCACTACTTGAGTTCTCCGACCCACCTCTTTCACTCCACTACCGATGCGGCCATTCTCCGTCACGTACCGACTCGCCATCCTTATTCACATCCCCCCGCCTCCTCCATCTAATTCTCTTCTCACCGACAACCATCCTTATCCCCCCCAAATCTAATACCCCGACCTCAAGGCCTGCATCAACTTCATCTACCCTTCTCTCCCTCCAGCGCCAACTCCCACCACTTCTGTAAGTTTCACTCGCTATCGTTGGTGCCGCCATCGTCCATCCTCAAGTGTCCGCCTCTCTTTCGATCGGTTCGTCTTCTTGTGGATTCTCCGGTCATTTGTCTTAAACGCTTGATAATGGCTTTCATGTACTCACTTATATATAATTTCTCTGGCAGATAGCGCCTTTGGACTCTCGTATTCCTCCGATTTCGATCGGGCATAGATCCATTCTAACAGCTTCACTTGCGGTACCTGTCAGCTCGGAGAGTGCGAGGAAGGTGGAGGAAGCTAAAGCGGACGGAGGCGAGAAGTCTGGTCAAAGAAGA